TACTCTGGGAAGATGGAGCAGCATGTATAAAGACCAAGTAGCAAAGGCTTAGAATGCTGGAGGAATGAAAAAAGAAAACCTTCTGTGGCTGGAGTTTTGTGAGGAAAGAGTGGGTTAAGATGCAGTTGGAGAGGAAGGCCTGGGCTAGATCACACAGGGCCTGGGAAAGAGGTTGTCTTTTGTTTTCAGAGCAATGAGAATCCACTGAAGAATTTTAAGCAGAGAAGTGACAAACCTGATTTACATTTTAAAAAGATCAGTTGGCTGTGTGCAAAATGAATTGCTTTGTGCAGCAGGAGTGGATGCAATTAGACCAATAAGGTGGTTATTGCAGTTGTCAAATATCCTAGAACCAGGTGACCAATCTGAGAAGTCACGGGGAAGTAGGACAACCTGGGGATTAAAAGCTCTAATTACAGGTCTCTAAAAAGCTATAAAGGGCTTTGTGCAATTACAGAAATGGTTGAGTGCTTGGAGCTGAGCTGTGTCTCTGCCAAGATCATGCTTTTTTTCTGGAATTGTATTCCTTTAGGACTGTGTTACAGGAACAAAAGCTGAAGCTCACCAATAACTGCAGAAGCAAAAAGCCTCTAAAGGGTACACTAACAAGCATGAAGCATAGATTGCTATCCAAATCCAACTTTATTCTTGTCTCTCACCACCACTCCAAACTGTTTTTAATTTGCGGGTACTTTTCCCCTGCTGTAGAAAAAAGCTGTAGCAAGCCTGTGACTTTTCGGGTCATTCTTAGTTAAGAGTCTTATGCTCCTTTTAAGGTACAATCCCAAGTGATTAGAATCTTTAATCCGATGTAACAACAATCTGCACCTTTTACTATTTTTTCCTCCCAGCTCTGCTCCATTTAAGTTGAAGAGCCTGCAATGAGGAAGGAATAATCTCTATGTTCTCTGCTCTACCTGCTTTCCACTGAATAGCTGCTGATTGCTCTCACCCAATGTGCAGAGAAGTCAGGGAATAAAAGTTCTTGCTTGACTGGGTGGCTCTGTACCCTATGGGCCAGAAAGATCTCTAAAGGGGTTATTCCTGTTGTCCCCTTAACCCTGATGGATGAAACTAATTAGGGGTGAAAAAACCTGCAGCCTGCAGGCCGCATACAGCCCAGGATGGCTGTGAATGCGGCCCAGTGCAAAAGTGTACATTTACTTGAAACATGAGATTTTTTTATGATTGTGTGTTGCAATGTATTTAATGTGTGGCCCAAGACAACACTTCTTCCAATGTGGTGCAGAGATGCCAAAAGGTTGGACACCCCTGTTAAAATCTGGGGAGTCTCCTGCAACTTCCTCTTCAGTCTACATGACACACTCCTAGCTTCTTTGTGCTGAGGTCTCCTTGCCTCTTCAAATGATTCTGTTGAACAGGACCTAAAACTACCCATGCTTCCTCCTCTCCGGGTGAGGGATATAGGGTATGCTTATACATCAGGTGTCATGGCAAATTCTGGGAATGCAGGCCAATGCAAAAGCAGCAGCACTCACCTGGCTCCACCACTGAAACAGTCCGTGAGCCTCTGCTTGCCTTCTACATTTCCAGAGCAGGAGTCAGACTCCAGGCTTACCATTCCTCGGCTGTGGGATTAAACACGGCAAGTGTCCCAAATGGTCCCAGTGGAGTCCCCAATTAGACTTGAGGTAAAAGGTCAAAACCCAGCCCGCCCCTCAAGAAGTGAGTAGGTTCTGACAGTTCAGCTGTACTCTGTCTCACAGTAGAGAGCAATCTTGCACCCATCTCCCATCCTATCCTCTGACCCTAAACCTTAAGTGTGCTATCAATACTATTAGCAATCATACTGTATTTTCCTAATTCGTTCATTCCCTCTTATAAACAATATTCATGCTCTCCTCTCCTCAAAACTCCAACCACTTTCCCCCTAGTCTCACTCAGCCCGAAGTCTACTTCCTGCTTCACTGAGAAAAATCAAAGCAACCAGAAAAAAATCTCAAACCCGATCCATCATCTGAATCAGATGCATTATAACAAGCCTTCCAATAATTCTACTGTAGTTTGAAAACCACTGTCTTCCACAGTGGGGCAGGTTCTCCCAATCCCATTTGCCTCTGACTACTCTTGCTACTCCTTCATTCTGTTCTCAAATTGTTCTTTAATTTGGTCTCATTGTTCTTTAAATAGTTGGCATGCTGTTATTTCTCAAAGAGATATATATTGTTCTCTCTAGAGTCTAGGCTCTCAACATTAGACACTGAAGTCCAGGCAGGGACTTGAACAAAAGCTTGTCCTGAAGCTGATGATGGGGCAGGGAGGACACAGACAGATCAGGCTCAGGAGAGTGCTGCTCTCAGAATCAGGGTGACTGATGGAGCCACGAGTGGGTGCTGGGCTGAGTGAGAGTGAGCCTGGCATCTGAGTCAGACTCAGACTCAGAGATATTTACACAGTGGTGCTAGAACAGGCCAAGGAAAAATCCAAATTATAAGGGGGGGAAGCAAAAGAGGGAGGCAGGTAGACCCCAGCTGTTCTGCTGAGAATGTTAAAAAAAAAACAAAAAACAAAGAAACAAAATCAGTCAAGATTTAGGACTATAAATAACATTTGGGAATGAACATAAGACATGGAGCTATAAAAGGTGATGTCTCCTACAGTGAGATGCTTTGCTACTCCAACATGTTCCCTGGGCATTGTGGCTCACCTCCCCATTTACCACAAGAAGTTTCTGACCCCATGAAGCAGCCGTAATAGTCTCTCTGGAGTGATCCCCGGGGAGTCCTGACAAGCTGGAGAGGGCTGTCAGGGTATCTTAGCTGCCTGGCAGCCAGCTCCGCTCACAGCCTCACGTCATCCTCCAAACGGGAGTCTTTAGTAGGCTGTGTGAACCCGTAGCATTTTTGAAACTCATGCCATCAGTCTTTCTTTGTCTGCAAATCTCCTGGATTCATTCTCTCCCTCAAGAGGCTGGCACCTATTCCATGCCAATTTCTACCATCATCCTGGACAACTGGAAAGTCCATAAAGACAACAGCCAACAGCCCACACCTCACACCCCCCCCGCCCCCCCACCAACCCCACACACACAATGCTTGAGCCCCCAGTCCACTAACCAGTCTCTAGGCAACCCCTCCGCTGAATGTCTCTCAGGCACTCACCCCCATGGCTGTTCTCTAAACTTTGCCAATCACCTGGAGCTGCTCTGCTTCCGATATTTGTAATTCAAGTGTTCCAATTATTGACCCCAGACTCCCATCCTCCCAGGTCAATTGTTCAATTACTACCAGTGTACCACCCTCACTTACTTGCAAAAGGTCTGAAACTCCTTTGTTTGCTTTCCTTTCATTTCTTTTGCATGGCAAACGTTTCAACTCTGTATGATTCCTTAGTGCTCACAGTCTCTCAAGCTACACGTAGATGCCTGAGTAGGCAGATAGCCACACCACTGGGCTGATTCGTGTAACTATAAATTCATGAATAATACCAATATATATTCAAAAAGGCCCTCAACATTAGTCAGTAATTCTCATCCTACCACAATCAGATTTCTCTCATCTTAGTAGACTTCTCAATAACATCTGACAGCTGACCACACTTCCATTCCTTCCATATTAAAAAATTCACTCTCCTACCCTGGCTGGGTGGCTCAGTTGATTAGAGCAACATTGTCCCATACACCAAAAGGTTGCAAGTTTAATTCCCAATAAGGGCACATGCCTAGGCTGTGAGTTTGATCCCTGGCTAGGGCACATACAGGAAGCAACCGATCAACGTTTCTCTCTTATACTGATGTTTCTCTCTCTCCCCTTTCCTTTCTAAAATTAATAAACACATCCTCAGGTGAGAAATAAATAAATAAATAAAAATTCATTTTCTTGGCTTTACTCTTCCATCTCTGGACCAACTTTTTCATCTTGTCACCTTACTGGTTCTTTTTCGTTAACTCTTCCATTAAATGCTCCTCAGAGTTCTATTATAAGCCATTTTCTCCTCTCATTATCTTACTCTGGATATCTTATTTATTCCTATGATTTCAATTACCACCTCTGGGATGCTGATTCCCAAATCCCCAGCACAGATCTCTCCTGAGGCTTTTATGTCCCACTTCCAAATGGCATCACCAGCTCACCCAGCTGCTCAAGCCAGAAACCAGACTCACTTCAGATTCCTTTCTCTCACCAATCCTCAACATCTACCAGTTGTACCTACTGATTCTCCCATCTGCCAGCTTCTTTCACTGTCACTAGTTCACAGTGGCCTCCTCTTGGGCCCCAACCTGGGGTTCCTGCAACACCCCTGCTCCCATCAATCCCACCCAACTGGACCCTGTCATTCCTTATCATCTGCTTAGATAAACTCAAGTAACAAGCTCTGGGACTACAAAGATCAAACTGACTTAAGACTGCAGCCTAATGCGCACAGCAATCACAACATAGCATTTAAACGCTGAAGCGCACACTTCAGGTAGTGCTTTCAGTGTGCGGATGAAGATAGTCATTCTACTTTGGGAGTGATGGAGCAGGAAACTAGGCTGTTTGGAATCATGAGTAAGACTACCAGTCAGTCGAGTATTCAGAAGACAGAAGAGTACATGCAAAGGCCCTATGCAGCCTCCACACATGCCCTCTGGCCAATAGTCTGCCTCAGAACCTCCATCCCCTTCTGGAAGCATCCAACTGGCTCAGAGCCCTGAAGCCTGTGTCACAATGGCCATGCTGTTCTCGTTCTTGGAAACAGGTAGAAAAGGTTATGTCTTTACGCCTGGGCTCACGGCAGATTCCTTTTAGGAACAGCCAAAGATCTATCAACCCAGTTCATCTTCTCATAGCGATAGCCCTCCTTGCCTCCAGCTGTCCTGGGACGGGCTGATCTGAGCCCACTGCTGGGCGGAAATGACAGACCGTTTTGCCAATAAACAGCCCAAGCACTAACTGATGGTTGTGTATGAACAGACCCAATTTCCTCACCAACTCCACCCAAAGACAGCTCAGACTCTCTCAAGAACCTCTAAATGTCCTATTAAATGAGCTCGTTCAAAGGCCTATATTAAGCTGAGTCTTCCTTAGTCAACAAAGCTCTTCTTTACCCTCCAACCTCCAACCCAGCCTCGAGAAGGGTCTTGAGAACAACAAGGCTTACAAGGCACAACAGCCACAGCAACAGTTTATTGAGCACCTCCTCAGTATCGGGCCCTGGCGAGAGATCTCCTCGGTTGGCCCACACAACAAACCCATGAGACAAGAATCCTACCATTTTCCAAATGAGGAATGTGACATCCAAAGATTGAATGATTCTCGGCAGTAAGTGGCAGGCCAGGATTTGAACCCAGGCCCACCTGATTCCAAAATCTGTGCTCTCAGCCAGACACACACGACGTCCCACAGGACAGTAATAAATGCTGGCAGTTGTCTGGACCATGTGGCTCCAAAGATAGAGATGAGGACAGACGGGAAAGAAGTGCTTAACACAGAGACAAACAAACAGTTCTGACCCAGAAGCCCTGACTGATGTGCTGAGCCAGGACGTTAGCGAGCCACCAGTCGTCCCAGGGCCAAGAAGCAATGTCTGCCTGTCTGGGGCCTTGAAGACCTGGGCAGACCAAACCTGAAGGAGTACAGATATGAGTAAGCAGAGGGAGCTGGTCTGCAAACAGACCAGAAGAGAAGAAAATGGAGATGCCAGGGACAGAAAGCCCATGTAGCTCCTAGGAAACGAAAGAAAGAATCAAACCCAGAGATGCCTTGAATTCCAAACCATCTAGTTTCCATGACACCTAGGGGATCCATAATTCCCAGATAGCCACATGTTCTCAAAACAAACTCCTTATTCTTTAGTCAGCCTGAGTGATTCTGTGATTCTTGCAACCAAGAATCTTTCCTTAGAGCAGGGCTGAGCCAGAGGTTTCATTACACTTTGTTCCTGGGACAGAGGAAGCGCAGTATCAGGTCCTGCGGCACAGCCTGGCTGGTTACAGTCTTCAAAGTTATGAGCCTGGAGTTCGAGACTTGCCTCCCCTTTCAAGGAGTCCAGAGGTCACCTGCGCTTATAGAGGCATGGCTGAAGCTTCAGGCCTGAAAGTTGAGCCTTGGGCCCCACCCGAGGGGGCCCGGTCTTTTCAAAATCAAACAAGAAGAAGTGGCTGTTGGTCAGGTCCTAGGGGAGAAAAGATCCAGTGAGTCCCTCATCCTCACCCTGCTCTTCGAAAATATTTCAATCTATGTCCCACCCTTCCTCAGAAGGCTTCCCAGGGCTTTCCAGTGAGTCGTGTCTTCAAGAAGCAAATGTCTGGGCTTATGGCCTCCTTCCTGATCACCATTACCCTCAAAAGGGCCACACATGAGACAAAAACAGGGACAAGACTTCTTGGGGCCCTTACCTTGGAGATGATTTTGAAGCCCAGTTTGGTCACAGCTCCCAGGAAGGTCCGAACATCTTCAAAGCGGCTGCTAACTTCAGCCACCTTCAGAAGACCACTGAGAAAAATGGGAAGTGCTGTGTTAAGTGCACAGACATGCATGGGCACATATACATGCATCTGTGTCCTGGAGGCTCGTACCCTGGCTTCAGCACTCGATTTGCCTCCTCTAGGAAGTCCCTGATGTTGGTTCCCATCAGCGAAAGGCAGAACACTGCCACATCAACAGACTCGTCCTCCAGAGGCACCTGTGGGTAGTGGGGTTGTTGTATGAGGCACATAATACGGGGAGAAGGAACACCAGGATGGAGGTGTGAGGGAAGGAAAGAGAGAGTGTTAAGAGATTAGCACATGCAGGTTGGGCCTAGAGCGCAGGTCAGATACACAGAGAGAAAAAGGGGTTTACCTGGGCCATGTCACACACAGTGACCCTGGGGTCCAGAGAGGCCAAGTCAAAGCAGTGCACAGGGTTCCGGATACTTGAAGCCAGGCGGCAGTCTCCACAGCCGAAGTCAGCTACCACCAAGGATGCAGGCCTGGGAATGGAGGAGAGGGATCACTCACTGTTCTAGTCTGACCCACATTGCTTTTCACGGTGCCCAACCTCCATTCACCGCTGGCGAAGATCCTTGGCGATGCGGTCCACAGGCTGTAGTGGCCACTTCTTGACTTGGCTCTGGAAGCCACGGTGGTAGAGGAGAAAGGCCTCAGGGTCTTCCTGGAAGAGGCGCTGTGCAGCACTGCTGGGCCCTGAGTACAGCTGTTCATTGAGGTAGCGAAATCGAGCACCGTCTAGCCGCTGTGCCATGCGGGCTCGCAGAGCTCCTGCCCGAGTCTCCTGGCTGTCTTGAATGGGAGCAGGAGGCACCTCTGTCTCCTCTGTGGGGGCTGTGGCTAGAGCCGAGTCTGGTGGTTGAGGTGGCCGAAACTTGTTCTTGTGTCTACGCTTGTTCTTTTGCCGGTTCCGCCACTGCTTGCGACTCAAGATACGGGGGGACTGGGGAGGAGTGGTCCCCAAGCTTGGCTTGGGTGGGTCATCTGTAGCATTACTCTTCCAAGCTTTGAGACCTATAAGGAGGGAGATGAGAAGGCATATCTGGGGTAAGATCCACTCAATTGAGAGTCTTGGCAAATTCACCCCGGCCAAAATAGAGCCTGTGGCCTGGATGAAAGTACTTCTGATTGCATAATCCCAGACCTAATGGTGACAAGTAACCTGTCATATATAAGAGCAAATGATCCCCCTCCTTGTCCCACATACTTATATGCATCCACTAATACCTGCTTGGTCAGCACTGTCCAGGTGCTGAGCTGGGTTTGAAGGGGCCTGTTTCTGGCATTTTCCCTTTCTTTTCTCTTCTGCAGCAGGGTCACTGCCACAAAGAGCCCCTTTACGACATTTCTTCTTTTTTACTTCCTTTTCCTCAGAGACACTGCCTGGTAGACCCTGTTTTTGATGCTGCTTCTTCCTTTTCTTCTCCACTTCAGGAGAAGTACTGGCCAACGAGGCCTTTTTCGGGCGTTTCTTCTTCCTTTCCACCACCTCCTCCTCCTCAGAGTCACTGCCAGGCAGACTGAGGGGTGGCTGGGAAAGAGATGCTGCCTCCAGCGTCCGTAGTGTGGCCAAGAGCTGGCGGCGCTTGGAGCCCTGGGGGGAAACAAGGGATGAAAGCAGGAGCAGGGAGTATGGGTGGGACCTGGGGAATAAGAAGGGAGAGATGGGAACCTGATTCAGAGGTATTAGTATTAGTGTATCAGAGGTATTTAGTATTTTTCTCCAACTAAATTGTCACGAAGCATGCCAGACCCTGAACAAATTCCCAATTATCATCCCAACCTTTGGGAGGCTGAAAGGCAGAGAAGCCACCCACTCACCCCACTGTCTTCAATGTTCAGAGGAAGTACCAGGATTCCCCAGAAAGACCACAAGCAACAGGACCAAGGCCAGAGACTAGGAGTTCCAACCCTTCATCTCGGGCTTTTGCCTCCAGCTGATAAAAAGTAGGACAGTTTCTAAAATCAAGAGTGACAGGATGACATGTGTGTATTTAAAATGACTCAAGCTGCAGTGCAGAGAACAAACGGAAGGAGACAAGCTGCAGACTAAGGGGCCAGTGGCCTGAATTATAGCAATGGGTTAAGGGAATGAAGAGGAGGCATAAAGCAGACACACTCCCTGTGGGAAGCTCAGAGGGTAGGAAAAGCCTGAGGAACTACAGCGGCCTTCACAGCAGCAAAGGCTTAAAGGAGACCTTCTGGGTTGGAGTGCTACTGGACAGTCCTAAGACCAGGTCCTTAATTGGGAGGTTCTTAGTACCCTCTCCACACCAGCTTTGAAATGGTAGCACTTACACCCTTTATTGTCATTCCCCTTTGCTCTCTGAAATCCCATCTCTACACTGCAATTCTCAGGCGAGATCAGGCGCGTTCAGAGTGGTATGGCTGTAGACCCTACACTGCGATTCTGAAGGAATCCTTCCCCTGCTTAAAACACTTTACCGGCTTCTATTTTTCCTTAAAATATTCAAGACAACTAATTTACTTCTCCAACTTCAATGGCATCCCCTCTCATTCTCTGTGCTCCAACGACAAGGATTATTTTGTGTGTGACCCTAACAGGACAAGCAAACTCTCGACCCAGGGCCTCTTTGCAAGGCCTTTTCCTCTCCAACAAGAAACCCTCTTCTCTTCACTAACTTCTACTTACCGACTCTCAATTCTAATGTCATTTTCTTCCCTAAAGTTCTTAGATCTTCGTTCGCACACACACACCGAGAAGTACACGAGCGGCAGAGAGAGAGAGACAGACAGACAGACAGACACAGAGTGCACGCGCGGCGCATCCAGCGATGTGACCCACCAGGACCCGTTTCAAGGCCTGAAACAGCTCCCCGTGCCCTGCGGGACCACTCACCTTGATTTGCGAGGCTGCCGCGGGCCGAGGCCGTGACGCCACAGGCCGGAGGCACGCGGCTAATGGGGCCTCCTCGGCCCATTCCGGCTCCTCAAACATGCGGACGGTGCGGGGTGAGGTCGCAGGATTCTCGCGCCTCTCCACGTGCAGAGCGCGTCCCCAGAAATCGGAGCACCCAGAGCCACCGGAACAGAGCCGAAAACCAGGGTGGATAGAGCGGCCGGCGAGGCTCCGAAAACCATCGAGTTTACACATTGGTGGGCTAGAAGGGCAAGGAAGACGGAGGAAGGGAGGCCCGCGCGGGCCCTAGAGAGCGAGGGGTGGGGCCAGGAGGCGGGCGCGGCCGGACGGGAGTTCCCCGGAGAAGGCGCCTACCGCTCGAGTCCCGGTGAGTGCGGGAAAACCTTTGCCCCCTCCCCCAAGGTGTGAACCTTGCCAACCCGTCACCCCTAACTCAGCCTAAGTTCGGAGATGGGAACAAGGGCCACCCCCGGGAAAGACCCCTATCTCTTCCACCAAGGAATCGGGCGCCTGAACTTCCCCCCTCCCCCAGCTCTGCTAGCGGATTGGGTTCCTGTACTTGCTCGCTGACGTCCCTTCACTGGATACTACCTCTTAATTACCCCCTACCTCGCCTGGACTTGTCTTTCCCTCACACAGTTGGGGATCATCCCGTTGCCCCAAACTCCTTTCCAGACATCCACTAACTTGGGGACGCAGCACCCATCCTCATCCCAACAAACACTTCTCCACTGCAGGGGACAAAGTTTGGGGCTCACTCCCGTTCCCTGGATCCCTTCACAGTCCCCAGGCTTCCCCAGTCTAGGGGACTCAGGGCCGGGACGCTGCTATGGACGACATTTTCACTCAGTGCCGGGAGGGCAACGCCGTTGCCGTTCGCCTGTGGCTGGACAACACGGAGAATGACCTCAACCAGGGGTGAGCTGAGGGGGCTGGTGGGTGTGATGCAGGGCACAGACATTCTCCTTTCGATGATGGGAGGTGCTCACGTATGGGGGGAGCGGCTGACTTTCCTATCCAGTGTGACGGCTGCCCAGCGCAGCGTGCGTGTGTGTGTGTGTGTGTGTGTGTGTGTGTGTGTTGGGGGCGGGGGTGAGGGGGTGGTAGTGGTGGTCGTAGCACAGAGGCACCACAGAAAAAGCTTGTTTGAGCTGAATCTTGACTGCTAAATAAGAGTTTCATTGGCAGATGCTGCAGAGAGCTTTCTGGCCTAAGTGAACTGCATGGGTGAGGAGGAGGCAAGACAGAGAGCAGAGAGTGCCTGGAAATTGTCCAGAGTCTCATATGGCTGGAGGATAAAAATCCTCTTTGGGCTTCTGTGCTAAAGCATTCGATACAAGTGGAGAACGACAGGAGACTGGAAAAGACTGCAAGAGTCAGCCAGACCATAGAAGGATATTTAGGCTATATTAAGGTTTTTACTCAAGAACCAGGGTTTAAAGCCATGTAGTGATGTGAGATTGTTCACTTGTGAAGTGTTATCTTGGATGCTTTTTGAAGCACAAGTGGCGATGTGAAGAGAGGCAATTGCCTAGTTCATGCCAGAAGTGGTGGTGGCTTGGACTAGAATGCAGGTGGGTGAAAAAGAAAGATCAGATTCCTGAAATCTTTATGATAAAGAATTGGCGGAAATGTCAGAGGGAACAGTTTGTAAAGTATGTGATTGTCCAACCACTATGCTGTACAGCTGAGACTAATACAAAATAATATTGAACTATAATTGGAAACTGTAATTGTGAACTAAAAACTAAAGAAGTGGTGAGCCTGGGTGTGGAAAGTGAGGAAGGTCAAAGACAATGACCAGGGTTCTGGCTTGGGTACTTGAGCAGATGCTGGTTCCTTTTACAGAGATGGACAAGACTGAAGGAAGATGAGCTCCACTCCAAGCATGTTAAAGTGACAGTACAATGAAGTAGAAATGTTTACTAGGTTGTTGGTCATGTCGATTTGGATTTCAGGAGAGAGGCCTGACTTGGAGACACAAATTTGGGAGATATTAGCATATAGATGATACCTGAAGATATGCGTGTGAAGGAGAGGAGATGAGAAACCTGTAAAACTTAAAGGAATAACTGGAAGTTACAGGAGAAACAGGAAAATGTTGGTAAAGCTTAGAGAAGTGAATGTTTCAATGAAGGGGGAGTGGTCAAACAGTAGTATGGTCTCCTGAGAGATCAAAGACCTTGAACACTTTAAGGTAACCATTGAATTTACAATTACTTAATGGTATATTTGATGATCTCTTTGAGGGCTGTTTTAGAGGAAAACAGCCAAGAATCCAGATTACACTAGGTTCCTTCATTTAAGGAACTCTACTAAAGTGAAGGCGGTGTGCTAAAGGTGGGGAATCAGACTTAATGCCTGACCTCAAGGCAGGGTAAACGAGGTTGGCTGAGACTGGAAGGCAAGAAAAGCAGTAGTGATGTGGACTCAGGACAATGAATTTTAATTTTTTTATTTTTAAACTTTATTTTTTTAAGGTTGGCAGAGTTTAGTTTTTAGGTTTGAGAGGTAAGAATCACCTGTTATCTTCATCCAGGCTCTTATTGGGCTCATTGGTTCCCATTAAGCTCTATACTCCTTCTCCATAGTTCCCAGTCACTTGTTCCGTTATTCATATAACTCCTGAAAGGGTGCTCCAATAGCGGGCATCGTTACTATTTTGTTGGTGGTGTTATAAAGGCTTAGGTGAAGTTGTCCAGTGGGTGTCATAACTAGGCTCTGCTGCCAAAAGGTGAAGGGGTGGCATTAGTGAAACTGGAAGACTTCGTTGGTTTGAAGGGATAGGTTTTGGGGGACCAAGCTGGCCATATAATGGATATGAGGTGGGGATGAATTCCCTGCTGGCCTCTTTGGGATTAAAGACTAGGTCCTGAGGGGACAGGCAGCTCAGACAGTGGGCAGAATCCTACGCACACTTTTTGCCTTCAGGCTCTGACCTGCCCTGGGGCCACAGGCTGGGGGGAAACTGTTAAGCCAAGGCACAAATTTAAGAGCTGGGAGGTAAAAAGCAGGGGGTGGTAATTGCTTTGGAGAGGGGGAGGATCCCTACTTTCCAGGAAAGCTTTTGGCTATCTCTATGAGCAGATGAAGCAGCTGTGGAAGGAAATCATTTAAGTTAAGGGCTATGCCCCCTTCCCTCATTGGGGGATATCTGGGTGGCCTGCGATGGCCAGACTCCTGATCAGCTCCAGGGCCATCTAGAGCTCCCACACAGGAAGTGACCACAGCACTAAGGCATCCGGAGGCAAATCTGCCCAAACCACAGACCGCCCCCTGCTCCGCCCCTTGGACCTGCCTCCTGGACTGGAAGGAATTTCCTTTTATGGCCCCAGGCTGTCAGGCAGGCCCTGCTCCCACCCAGTTGTTTTGGGGTTTTTGTATACTTCCTTTACTTTGTAAAACACACGTCCTTGCCCCCCCCCCAAAAAATGTGAGGTACAATTTCATTTCTGCAAAAGCCATTCTTTTCTGTGCCCCGGGTTGTGTAAAGGAATCTTGTTTTACGTGGTAGTTTGCTGTCTGCCTCATCAGTAATGACTTATCAAAGCATTTCTGCTTTTCATTACAAACCATTCCAAAACGTCATTTTAATTCCACTACATTTTTAGATTTGAGTTTCAGTACCAGAGACAGTAAGTTTGCTCCCTCTCCTGAGTTGTGGCCTGGCTTCTCCAAGATCACAACCCTCAACATGCACCGAACGCCTGCACCTGCAGTCAGTCTATTCTCTCTAGAAGCTTACAGTCTGACAAGACAGCCCATTAATGAATTTCTACAATCCAGTGCGATACGTACTGTAGTAGGGGGATGTACAAGATGCAGTGGAAAACAGAAAGGACCAACAGATGTTGCAAAAGGGATGCAGAGGACACCAGATGAAGAATGCTACCATTTAATGAGATAGGGCGGGCCAGGAAGAAAGACTGGTTGGAGATGGTGGTGAAAACCATGAATCGAATGGACTTGTTGGGGGCTGAGACTGAAGCTTGGGGAAGGTCTGAATAGGACAGCTTTGGGAGTTGCTGTCAAGAATGAGAATTAAAGTCCTGGAGAGGTAAGGTTTCCCGGGTGACTATGTAGAGGGACTATCAGTTTTTCCGGTACTAAGGCCTTTGCCCCCATTCCACCTCCAGATAAATGACCATTGCCCCTTCCTTCAAAGGGACGATCATGGCTTCTCCCCCTTGCACTGGGCCTGCCGAGAGGGCCGCTCTGCTATAGTTGAGATGCTGATCATGCGGGGGGCACGAATCAATGTGATGAACCGTGGGGATGACACCCCCCTGCACCTGGCAGCCAGTCATGGACACCGTGATATTGTACAGAAGGTATATATAATCCCCTTCACCTCCTACATCATGTACATGCCTAGAAGTCAGTCATAGGCATTATAACATACTGGGGCAATCGTGTACTCTTTTCCCTCCTCACATGCCTCAACACCCTTCTCTCCTTTGGGACTGACTGTACCTTCTTTCTCTTCTGTCTGCCTGGCTGTGGGGATCAGCTGCTGCAGTACAAAGCTGACATCAATGCAGTGAATGAACATGGGAATGTGCCCCTGCACTATGCCTGTTTTTGGGGTCAAGATCAGGTGGCAGAGGTAAGTACTTAGGCACCACGACCTGGGATAGGTGGGAAGTCAGGTCTGAGCCTTAGTAAAGTTAAGTCTAGAATCCTGAACCTATCCTCTGAGCAATGCCATGTATATGACACCCACAGGGTTTGTACTGCATCTGCATTCATGGGTGGTTGTGACTCTGAAGGAGGTAGTGGGGCCCTCATCACAACCACCTTTTTATTATTCTAGGACCTGGTGGCTAATGGGGCCCTTGTCAGCATCTGCAATAAGTATGGAGAAATGCCTGTGGACAAAGCCAAGGCACCTCTGAGAGAGCTGCTCCGAGGTCCGTCCTCCACCCCTCAGCTCTGTCCTCTTGTCCCCTCCTGTCTCCTCCTTCTGTACCACAATTGAGGCCAAGATTGTTTGTTCTCCTTCCCCAGAGCGGGCAGAGAAGATGGGCCAGAATCTGAACCGTATTCCATACAAGGACACATTTTGGAAGGGGACCACCCGCACTCGGCCCAGTGAGTCAGTTGAGGGGAGGGATGGTAATGGGGAATAATTCTGGGCTCTTTGGGCTGGGTTAGGGGGAAGCTGGGTATCTGACCTGCTCACTCTCTCAGGAAATGGGACTCTCAACAAACACTCCGGCATTGACTTCAAACAGCTCAACTTCCTGGCGAAGCTCAACGAGAATCATTCTGGAGAGGTGATCTCTGCTTTTTGTGCCCTTCCCTCCCCAAACTCCCCCAGACTATATGCTCTGTACCACTTTTAAATTTCTCCTCCAGTTAGTGGGCATGAAAATGGTAGTCTTAGTTAAAGCCTCCTAATCCTTACCTGTCCCTCAGCTGTGGAAGGGCCGCTGGCAGGGCAATGACATCGTGGTGAAGGTGCTGAAGGTTCGAGACTGGAGTACAAGGAAGAGCAGGGACTTCAATGAGGAGTGTCCCCGACTCAGGTGGGGCAAGGCCTAAGCCGGAAGCTGCTGCTTCCAAGGAAACCTGGCTAGCACCCAAGAGGGAGATGTTTTATGCTGAGTCTCAGCCTGGGACACTCTCTTCCTCTCCCAGGATTTTCTCGCATCCGAATGTGCTCCCAGTGCTAGGTTTCTGTCAGTCTCCACCTGCTCCTCACCCCACCCTCATCACACACTGGATGCCATATGGATCCCTGTACAATGTACTACATGAAGGCACCAGTGAGTAGGGGATGCCAGATGTCACTGAAGCGGGGAGAGGGTGTGTGAGCCTCTTCAAACTATTTGACTGTTGCCTTCACTCCTAGATTTTGTCGTGGACCAGAGCCAGGCTGTGAAGTTTGCACTGGACATGGCAAGGGGCATGGCCTTCCTGCATACACTAGAGCCCCTCATCCCACGACATGCACTCAATAGCCGTAGTGTAATGGTGAGGTCACAGCTTCACTCTGGGCTCAGTCCCCCAGACCACCATTCCCTATCTAGAATAGGACTTACCTCCTTCCACATATCATGTCTTCTCTTCCTCAGATTGATGAGGACATGACTGCTCGAATCAGCATGGCTGACGTCAAGTTCTCCTTCCAGTGCCCGGGGCGCATGTATGCACCTGCCTGGGTGGCCCCTGAAGGTGAGTGAGGGCATAGTGGAGGTGGAGAAGGGCCAGCTCAGTAGCAGTGGAAGGAGGCAGAGACAGGACAGGAAAGGGAGCTGGAACAGATAAGTCCTGTCCCTCCAGCTCTGCAGAAGAAGCCTGAAGACACAAACAGACGCTCAGCAGACATGTGGAGTTTTGCAGTGCTTCTGTGGGAGCTGGTAACACGGGAAGTACCCTTTGCTGATCTCTCCAACATGGAGATTGGAATGAAGGTGAGGCCACACTTGTGTCAGGGGAATGGCGGTGGTAGTGACAATAATTGTAGAGGGGCTGGGCTTTTCCCATGTTTGTTCAAATATACAGTAACCTTGTCCTTAGGTCTGAAGGCCTCTCCTTACATAAGACTCAAGTTCTGAGCCCCACCTTGTTTTTCCATGCATTTACAGGTGGCACTGGAAGGCCTTCGGCCTACCATCCCACCAGGCATTTCCCCCCACGTGTGTAAACTCATGAAGATCTGCATGAATGAAGACCCTGCTAAGCGGCCCAAGTTTGACATGATTGTGCCTATCCTAGAGAAGATGCAGGACAAGTAGGGCTGGAAGTACTTGCCTAAACTCCAGAGGTGTGGGGACAGTTAGGGGAGTGCTCCTCCCCAAAGCAGCAGGCCTCTGGTGGCCCCCCACCCACCCCCCACGCCCACCTCCAGTCATGGTACTACCCCAGCCATGGGGCCCGCTCCCTGCCCCCATCCCTACCACTGCGGCCCCAAGAGGCTGGGCTCAGAGCTTTGTCACTTGCCACACGGTGTCTCCCAGCATGGGAGGGATCGACCCTGCCTGTCACAATAAAGTTTATTATGAAAACAGGCTGGTGTGGGGACAAGAGGACAGAAAAGTACATATAGGTTGGGTGGCTCAGGTGAAATAATGCGGCTTCTTCACATTGATGCCATACTCGCTGAGGGCAGGGGTCAAGTCCTCCATGGTTAGAGTGTACTTCCGGTCCTGAGGGAAAAGGGGAGAGTACCAGCTGAACACAGGAATCCTGATTTCAATCCCAGGTGGGCGACCCTGAATAGGTTGGTTGGTTTTGGTTACCCTAGGGCTTAGTTTCCCCAGAGGGGTTTCAGGATACTTAAGCCTCCACTGCTGTGGGAGGTAATCACTGATTCAATGAGCCTCCCCTCACACCTTGCTCTTGCTTCGGGAGCTGCCAGAGGCTGTGCCCTTCATTTTGCAGTGCTGTAGTGCATCGTTGGCAATGTCTGAGATGAATTTCTGGGCAGCTAGGGAGATGAGCCGAATTCTAGAGGGGAAAAAAAACCAACAAAAACCGGTATAAGGAGATGGACAGCAAACTCCACACACACACCCAAGGCTCTAACCTGTTTAGAATTTACTCACATGCGAGGGTCTGAGGCCTCAAAACCAGCGCGGTTCAGGTAGTAACCAGTCACTGCATCTGGAATCTGAAATCAATTAGACAACTGTCAGGGTCTGCCTTCCGCCCCGCGGGGCGGAGAGTGCGAGGGTGAGGGCAGGAGGGCAGGCCTGGCTATCAAGAAGTTCACGGTTTGGGTGTGCAGAAGGGGCACATCACAAGGGCTAGAAGGGGGGCAAACACAAGAAAAGGACGCTGGCTGGTGCGGCAGAAAGCTTGCATGACAGGCAATAGCCTTGTTCAGGCAGGAAGCCCACCGTAGGCGTGTAATCCTCCAGCTGCATCAGGAAGTCCACCAGAGGCGTGCTGGACACCACTGGCTTCACGTCTCCGTTGGCCGCACTCGGCAGCACATACACCCCATTAGACATGGCCCCCTCCGGGGGCGCCGCGCCGCCCGCTGACACCGGAGCTGGAGGAGAACCAGAAAACTGACACACAGATAGAAGGCGCAGGGCCCCAGCTAGGTCTGCCTCATACCCTCTGGCCTTCCCCGCCGATGGGCCCAGCCCTCACCCTCACCCGTCCCGGCCCTCACCCGCCCCGCGTCGCTCCGCCGGCTCCCCGGCCCGCGCCGCCGCGGGTCCCGTGCCCCCTGCCGCGCCTCCAGACCCTCCTCCTGTTCCCGCGGGGCTGGCCTTGTTCTCTGCAGCGGTGCCGGCGGGCAGCGCGGCAGGGGCCGAGACCGCGGGTGCCGGGCCCGGGGCCGAGGCGGCGCAGGCCGGCGCCGCCTCGGGGTCCGCGCCGGAGCCGCTGCAGCTCATCAGGCCGGTGGAAGAGGCGGCGAACAGAGCCGCTTCCGCTTCCGTTCGCGTTACGCACACACCAGGTGACGTCACTCGCCTCGCGCTCTCTCCAGCCCCCTCAGCACCCCCCCCACCCCCGCCGGCCTCCAAGCTTTGACCGCACTTTCTCTTAGGCTTCCAACCTCCTGGTGCCTAATACCAAGCTAGGTGACACAGTCCCAGAGGCGGAGACCAAATCTCGGAGAACCGCGCCGGCCACGGACGTTCCACCTCCCGCCCAGCTGTACTCCTAGGCTCTTCTGACGGGCTGGGAACCCTGAAATGTCGAGGACTGTCTTCTAAGGGCCTGGGACCTTCATTCAGCCTGACTCCTAAAGACTGTGCTTTGGGCTTCACAGCCCGACACCCCTGGACCACCGATTTTTGCCTGCCGCGCTGCAGGCTTTCTAGCTCCCTCCCTGCCAGCTGCCGGGAGAAGTGAGGGCTACAGGAAAGTGCACGCAGTGCTGCTGTAGACGGGGAGGAATGTACCGTTATTTCAGCTTGAGTAAACAACACATAACGCAAAATCACAGTGAGTGCAAGACTAAAGTTTTCAATGTAGCAGACATTTATTCACTCCCATTTGTTAATCCTGAGCTAGGGGCCTGGGAATCAAAGTTAGGTAAAACAAAATTCTAGTCCTCTAGGCACCAACGGTCTTGGAAAAGGAGGCGAATAGATCAACTGGCAATTTCAATACTATGTGGGATTTACAATACTAGAGGTAGACACGGAGTGTGCAGTGCAAAAAAAGGGGGGGGGGAATTAACATCTGCAGCCTACTTCTGTGTATCAGGTACTCCATTACCTTTATTCCACTTAATTGTTCACTGATTATTATGAGAGGTATAGACATCTCCACTTAACAAGTGAGGAATAGGCTTAGGGAGATGAACTTAGTTGCCCAAGATGCTCCACTAGTTTGTATTAGAAACAAGAATCAAACAGGTTTGGTTTCAAAAATCTAGGATATTTTGAGCCATACCAAAATCAACTAGCTTCAGGGAGCAAAAAGGTTCAGAAGAGAAGGTGGCTCCTGAGCTGAGTCTGGAAAGAATCCTGGAAATCAACCAAACAAAGGGGAGTCAGGGTAGTGGGAAGAGCAAAAGTGAAAGAATATGTTTGGAGGGAGAGCAGGGGATGATAAACAATTTGTTACTAAGGAACAAATAGCAAAGAAGGGATCAGGTCTGTGAGTCATGATAAAAATCGTGAACTTTATACAATAGTTTGTGAAGGGTCTTAAGTAAATGGCTTGATGAGATTTTCATTTTACTCTGGAAGATAGTTTAGGGAAGGGCAGGAAGAAGGTCATTTTTTTTTCCAAGAGCCTCCTACAATGCAGAGGAGAGAGAATATGGCTTTAAGCTAATGTAGTAGCAGTGGAGATGAAGAGAATATAGACGAGTTTTAGATATACATGGAAAATAAAATTGGCAGGGCTTGTGGATTGATAAAGATATTTTTAAGAGGTAAAGCCAGTAGGTCTTGTTAATTGAAGGGGAGAAGTGAAGGAAATGGGGGTCTAGAATGTCACTTAGCTCTCTGACTTGGTTAGAAGCATAGTATCGTTTACCAAGAAGAAACAAAAGGGAATAGTTTGGGATGGCAAAGGAGAGAGATGAAATGTTGAGAACTGCACATCTTGCATTTGAGGTATCCATCACTGTTGGATAAAAAGTCTGATTTAGTGAGATGGTGATGGCTGTGGATGACAATAACTGATTTGTTCTAGGGGACTGAGTAGAATGGGAAGAGCAAAAGACTGAGGTTGCAGTAATGAAATACACCAAGATTCAATGAGAAAGCAGAGGGAGATGGAATGGCCAGAAAAGAACGTAATCCCTAGAAGCTAAGGAAGGAGAGGGAGTGGGCAACTATGACAGAAATAAGCAAAGACTGGGAAGTGTGCACTTGATGAAATGGCAGGGAGACCATTGTTTCTGAGTCAGGGGAGTAAAGAGTAAAATAGTGAGAGCAGAAGTCCTATTGCAATGAATTGAGGTGCAAACATGAAGTAAAATCATGTACACAGTGTAGACGACCCTTTGGAGAAGTCTGGTTGCAAAGAGAAAGGAGTGGGTGGGGGAGGGGGATGCTCCCAAATAGTACTGGTTATAGCATATGCAGAGGGACCTGAGGTGGGGGTAGGGAGACCTGAGTATGATGGAAAAGGGTAGGGCTGGGAACCAAGTCACACTCATAGTATTTCAGGTGTTAGGGAGATAAGCTTGTCTGCAGCAGGTGAGGATTAGCAGGGCTTCCAACAGTGCAGAACAAGGAAACAAGTTACCAGCTGCGGGGCCAGGGACAGGCCCACTCTCCCAGTAGGAAAGGGTCATGGGTTGATTAATGTCTTCAGCAGAGCTGGGAAGTTGGGTGTTCCCCAGCCTGTCACAGGATCCCAGCCAGGGCCAGAGCAGAAACCCTGTCCCTGCACCTCTTCATTCAGACAGGACTCATGGCAGCCATGGGTTACCTAGGAATAAGGTGGGCATCAGATCTGGGCCTGCTGATACCAGTGCTAACAGCACCCCCTCACCCTGAATTCACATCCCAGAGACTATCATACCCCATCAGACCTGCTCTCAGATTTTCTTAGCATTCTCCAACTCTTCTGAAAATGTCTCCACCCCTCCCTTTCACACTCACATCAAAGAGTCCAGCCCCGCGCTGCTGGTAGAGCCTGGGGTTCAGAAAGCCGAGAGGAGGGTGGCCACTGAGGATTCTGTGTTCATTTATCAGGGCCAGGATCCCTCCGAACACTGGAGTAGAGGCCTGCAAGGGTGAGGGTGCAAGTAGAGGTTAGGGATTCAGAGTGACTGGACTTTTGGGGGAGGGATGTTTGAAAGGATCAAAGATCTCTGAGGAGTCAGGGGTTCAGGGTACAGGCTGAAGGTAGTTCCTGAAGGTTCGAGGCCAGGCTGATTCTCACCGAGGTGCCAGACACCCATGGAATAGGAATGTGGTTGCTGACCACCCAATAGCCATCAGAGAGTGCAGCCACATCTGGGTAGGCACGTCCACTGGCATTGAAGTAACTGGATGGTGGCAAGTTGGGGCTGGAGCTCAGGAAATGGGCTACAGCTTCCTCCTGAAAGGCACTGTTGAGTGAGTATGTCTCCTGAACATAGGATTCCTGACTCCTCCCTCCCACAGTCCAGCCTCATAAACATACACGTACCTGGTATGAAGGCCGTGGGAACGCATTGCTGAAGCCGCCGCCACTGATATAGTCAACAATCTCATTTGTGACTTGGAAAGGATTCTGGAAGGATGTGCCTCCCACCGTGGTGACATAAGGACTGAGGGCAGAAGACAGCACTCAGATTGTAGCTGTGCTAAGGCTCCCCACAAAATGTATGAGGATGGGTGGGTATGGCTTGGGCATTGCCGGCGGGGCTGGACTCCGTGGGGAAGCGTGTATGTGGCGATGACTAAGGTTTTGAGCCCTGAAGGCTTGGCCTGAGGTCACGGCATACTTTTTCTACAGAACACCCGCCAAATCTTCCATTAAAATGCTTAGGGACTGAGGAAGATAAACACTGGGAGCTGTGTCCTATTCAGGACACTTGGGGCCTGGGCCCTATAAGAAGAGGGAAGTGCAGCAACCAGGGCATATAAGGCTAAGGCTGAGCCATAGGGGCACCTGGTGGGGTCAAGGCAAAGGTTCCAGATCATGGGGTCACAGATGAAAGGTTGGTGGTCAGAGATAAGGGGTGAGCGGGGATACTTACCTAGAGGCTGGGAAGCTAGGACGGAATTGGTGTCGTCCAGAGACCGACCAACACCCAGCCCCACTGTCGCCTGGGAGAGAGACCAAGTTTAGTACTCAGATTAATCAGTCAGAGCTTGGTGTAAAGGTTCAGCTGTCAGAGAGAAAATTCAACTTAGTCATTACTGCGAGAAGTCAGAGTTTAGAGGTCAGGTCAGTGGTCCCTGTTCAGTTCAGATTATGAGTCACAGATCAGGATTAGGGGGTCACTGTGGGGTCAAAGCTCCAGGTTGGGTGCGGGAGTATCTAAGTTTCCAGCAGGAGGTCACCTGAGGCAAAGAGCAGGGTAAGACCCCGAGCAGCAGCCTTCATGAACTCGTTGTTGACCCTCTGGATGTAAGCACTGCTGAGGGAGTCCTCGTCATCTCCGTAGCTCACGGTGTGCACAGGTGGCAGGGCTGACTCGTTACTGAGCAGCAGGAGCCACTGCAGGAAGGGTTCCTGTGACTCATGCCGGCCTAGATTTTTTGTGGGGAGGTGGGGCACAAGCAGTCATCTGCGTGTTTGTCAGGACCTCCTTCTGGTTCATGGGATTCTCTTCGGGGAGCAAGGATCAACACCAATCCCTTCCCCTCCCCCCCAAACCAGTCCCCTGGGCAGTACCAGGGTTACTGTAGACCCAGGTGGAGATGTTGGCGCCAGCACTCATCAGGTACTCCACATCGAGGCTGGCTTCAATCCCGGCCCGGCCCCGGCCCTGCTGTCCGACCACATGGGCTACTGACGCCTGATGTGCAAAGTTTCCACCGAAGAGATGCATGAATTGAGCCAGGTCTGAGTCATGGAAGTACTGCTCCAGGAACTACAGAGGGGGTCAGAACAGGTATCATGGGTCAGAGGACATAGCCCCAAGGGTCACAGAGGAAACACCCTCCCAGATCACAGGATAGGGGATGAGAGCACACCCTTGGCTGGTCAGGCTCTCTGGGGAGGTTTCAAGGATCCCGGGGCTCCTGTATGGCTCACCTGGGCACAGGCTTGGCTGTTGTTGGTTGTGCCAGAGCCCACATCTTGTGCTGTCAAGTTGTATCGCTTACGGATCACGGATGGGGTCACCCCCAGGTGAAAGCCAACAGTCCCTGCCACCTGTGGCTGAGGGCGTTGCCTCAAGGATGACGTGGGGGGGAAGCGGTGCAGCCCCCCCACTGTGGGAAGGAGATCAGGTTTAAGGAGATCTTTTAGACTCCACCCCCCACTTTTCTACTGATCTCCCCCACCTTCCCCATGGCATCTAAACTGCTCCAGCCCCTGGCTCTGCCTGCCCCAACCCCACCAACCCTACTGGGTGTTACCAAAGTCCACATGGGGGACCAAGGCCTTCGGGAGCTGGTAGGGATGTGGGGACCTTACAACATAGGTCTCTGCAGGTCCCCCCACATAGCGATGAAACTCAGACCCAGAGAGCAGCAGCTCTGCCTGTCTGGGGGTCAGAGATCAAAGAACAGAGGTCAGAAAGCATGGAACAGAGCAGAGGAGGCTGTGTGAGCATCAGTGGACAGACAGTTGTCTCCCCATGCGTTAGCTCCCTCCCACAGCCCCCAGCAAGCTCTCCACTCCCTCCCATTGGGGTGGCTAGTTTCCCTGATGAGATGATTGGTAATCATTTATTCTCTCTCACCGGACACTCATCCAGCAGGTCAGAAAGTCCTGTGTGGTCACTGAGTGGCAGTTCTGGACTCCAGCTGCGAAGAGCCATTTTTGGACGGTGCGGAGGGTCAATGGTGACGGCCGGACCAGTTCAGCCACATCCTCTAGAGTCAGGTATTTTCCTGCAGGGATTCAGTAGAGGCTCTTGCCTTCATTCATTGCTTTTCCAGGTTTACATTTTTGGACCTCAGCAAGGAGACATCAGGAGCATGGAGAAGAGTCTTGAGAGGTGAGTAGAAACTTTCTAGCAAAGGGAAGGCTGTGCAACCTTATACTTGGGGGTCAGGGGAAGAAAAGCTGAAGAGACTTGGAACGCCAGGGCCAGGAACATGGATTTATCCTAAAGGCTACTAGGTTGCAAATGCTGTACCACAGCACGCACGGTCATGATCATGACAAATGAAGTTCATAAATTAAAACTGTCCATTTTAAGCTTATCTCCAATAAATGTATTCAAAACGTTCAGAGTCAATTATAAGATGACATCTAATTGGGCTTAAATTTTCATACTTGTTGATTTCAAGCTCAACGTTTTGGCGAGTCACTGTTTTCCTGCCTGGAGCCATGCACACTAGTACTTGCCTCTGGGTGCATCTGAGACTGTCCCCCACCCCCAGTCTTCTGCACACTGTGAAGGGCTGCAAGCAGGGAAAGGACACAAGCCAGCCTGACTATTGAAGCAAAACATTGACTGTTTTGGAGCTGAGTGTGGAGGAGAGTAAGGTGGAGGGGAAGGGACAGTCACAGGGATGGGCAGCATCCAGGTAAGAGGATACACAACTGAGTTGGTGGCAACAAGAGGTGGTGAGAAGTGGACTACTACAAAGGCTATATTCAGAGAAGTGGCAGCCTTAGTGTCTGAGTGGAGGAGGAAATGGGAGTGGATTTGAGAAACTTGAGCTGATGAGGACCTAGATCTATATATAGACAGTCCCCGACTTACGATTTTTTGACTCTACAATGGTGCAAGGCCAATATGCATTCAGTAGAAACCATACTTTCAATTTTTAATTATGATACTCTTTCCTGATGCTGGGCAGTGGCAGGAAGCCACAGCTCCCAGTCAGGCACATGAGCAGGAGAGTAAACAACTGGTGCTCTACCAGATTTTTGGATATTGTGTTCTGAGCATATTTAAGGCAGGCTAGGCTAAGCTATGATGTTCAGTAGGTTAGGCGTATTAAAAGCATTTTTGACTTAACAATATTTTCAACTTATGATGAGTTTATTGGGATGTAACCCCTATTGTAAGTCAAGGAGCATCTGTACTAGATGCTGCCTCCACATCTGCCCAGTAGCTGGCAAGCAGCAGAGTCATAATTTGAATCCAGATCTGATCACAAAGCCTGTGCTCTTAATCATATTCACCTTTAGTTTTCTAGTCTGACAAACACAGGTGGAAAGAGTAAATTAGTTTTGGACAGTTTAGCTCCAGTTCACTTTTTTGATTCACAAACTCTTCGCCGAGAGCCACTGCCATTCATCTTCCTGGTATCAGTTCCTCCACAGGCACCAAGACCCTGACATCACCTGCACTGTCCCAGGGCCAGCCCAGCCCCGCACTGCATCCCACATCCTGTCCCCAGGCCCAACAGGCACCGTATTGAGGAGAGCCAGGATCCGACACAGTCTGCACCAGCTCGGACAGTTTTTCCAGGTTCTGCTGTCTTAGGGCAAAGGTGAGACTCAGCTCTTCCTCAGGGTCCACACGGCCCAGGGACACCCAGCCTGGTGGCAGCCTGTGGAGTAAGGAACATGGCCTTTGTTAGAGTGGCAATGGGAAATAGTGACAGAAAACTGAGGATTAGTGGGTGAGAACTTGGGTAGGATCCCAGCAGCAGAAGCGGCTCATAGGAATTAGATGATAGGCGACTGAGCCTGGGAACCTAGGGAGGAGACTACGGAGCGAGGAGCGAGGACCGGGGGTGTAGGGGTGAGGAAGGACAAGGACTGCGGGTGTAGGACAGGGCATGGGGAAAGGGGTGGTCAGTGCTAAATCAACTCACGTCAGCTGTTGGTCGGGCTCCGGGGTATAACTGCATTTGCCCGCGACGAAGAGGGCTAGGAGCCCTAGGAGGCTGCAGGGGTGGCAGGCAGGTTTCAGCGGAAGCGAGGTTGTCATTTTGTGCCCACCCTCCAACATGTATTCCCTCCAACGTGATCCCCTTTTCCCAAGGCCTCTTAATTTCTCACCAGGCTCGCAGTCCCATTCCCTCTCTCAGCAGATCTGCTGTCATGTGACAGATCACATGAACCCTACAGTTCACCACTACCACCCGTCAGCCTAGAAACTAGTGACGGTACTGGCTCCTCCCTCAAGTGGGCGGTCCTAAATGCTGGGCGAGGCTGACCCTTAGATTCTCCCCGCTCTGGCCGACCAAGCCCTGGAGTAAACCCAGGGCTCCCTCCCCACTGCCCGAGCCCAGCCAGGACTCACTACAGGGGACGGAGAGGTTAAGAAGGAAGCCCTCGAGGCCCACAGACCCGAGGCCGGGGTTCCTCCTAGCTGTACGTCAGGAAATTCACTGACCCTCTCAGACCCCAAGTTTCTTCATTTAGATTACACCGTTATATTAAAAGTGGTCTCATAAGTTTGCAGTGCAAATTTACAGATAAAACAGGCAAATCCCTCATTAGAGTCTGAGGGCAAAGGCTCAACAAATCTGAGCTCCTATTACATGTGCACATATAGTGGCCCCAAGAAAAACACAGAAACCACTTAGCTGTGTCTGTATCCACCTCCCACCTCCTTGAAGAACTCAAAGCCTAGAGCTAATTATCCCTACGATCTCTTTTCTCCCAACCACTCTCTCTCTCAATCATTGTCTGCCTACTTCCTGGCCCCCTGCCTGTGTGGGGGAAAGGTCGATTGCAGAGATGGCTCCCAGTGCCATCCCCACCCTAGATGCTCATTCATGTCCACCATCCCTCTTTGCCTCCTGAGGTGTCCACAATATGCCACGTGCCTTCCAATCATCCCCCCACTCCTCTGGCCCCCCACAGAACTGAGCCGGACGCTGGATACAAACTGCAGTTTATTAAGGCTCCAGAGTGAGAATTGGCACTTGGTTCTGGGCAGGGGCAGGAGTATCGGTGGAACCCAAAGAGGCTGGGCCCAAACAGGTTGGAGGGCCTCCCCCATACCCCTTCCCCCCAATAAATAAAGTCTCAGCTCCATCTCAGGGTGCTGGCACAGGACAGGAAGCCCTCACCGAGGAGAACCCAGGGCTGCTGCCTCCTTCATATTTCTCCCCACATTGGACCTGGCCACAGGTCAGTGCCCACAGGGCCTCTGCGGTGCTGCTGCTCTGACAAGGCCGGGGTTAGACATGCGACCTGCCTCCGCTGGAGGAGCGTGGGATGGGGAGCTGGTCTCCCCTGTGGCCAATCGTGGTCCGAGGCTGCCCAGGGCAGGCTCAGATGGGGCCTGCATTGGGGACACTATGCGCATCCCAGGTCGGGGCCCAGCCTGGGCCACAGCTAGATGTGCAGCTCTGTGTCATCGGGTGGCTCCAGGCCAGACTCTGCGCTGAGTGCTGAGGCTGAGGGGCCTTGGGCCACCCCAAATGGCGAGACAACAGGTGAGCGAGCAGCCAGAGGAGACAGTGAGGGTGAGAAGCTGGGGGACATGGCAGCTGAGGACAGGGAGCCTTCGTGGCTGATGGGGGAGCGGTGAGAGGCTGGTGGGAAGATGGCCCGGGCTGCAGCTGTGCTGGCTGGCTTGGGGGGCACAGACTTGGCCCCGGGGTGGGCCACGGCAGTGATGAGGGGTGGTGGGTCAATACGGGGAGCCGGGGGACATGGACGCGCTTCATCCTTGAGCCGGGCGATCTCCGTGAACACGCTGGCCAGCGGCTGGAACTGAGGGCACCAGCTCAGCAGGTAGTCCCAGTTATAGCTGCCACGGAGCTCCTCTTCACCAGCTACAATGGCCGTCAGTGCCCCTGCCACGCATGGCTTGCCATCTGCTGGGAAGCCATAGTCCCCGGTGGGTGCAGGGCTCAGGCCACAGCCCCCCAGGAAGGCCGTGGCAGTGGCTGGAGGGCCCTCTTCTCGGTACAGAGTGGCTCCTGCACCTGGCAACAGCAGCCCTGCCTTTCGGCCCTTATACCAGGTGTCAGGGGCAGGCGGCTCACAGGATGTGTCACTCAGTCCATCTGCATCCTGCTGGATGCCTGAATCGGGGCCACGGGCAGCCAGGGAAGAGGCCACACTGGCCACACGGGGGAACTCGTTGATCATGCGGATCTCGTCATCCTCCGCAGCCTCAGCGGAGCCTCGGCCGCTTGAATGGGAAGGGTCCAGGGAGCCACCCCGGGGATAGGGAGCTCCAGCTCCTGGCCCACCATAGCTGGGGAGAGTCTGGTGATACAGGTGCTCTGAGGGTGGTGGGCTGGGTGGCTCCCGGCCTAGCTTCTGCAGGGAGCCACTGGCCAGGGGTGCTGCCTGTGACATTGGACCAGGTGCTGCCTCCGCCTTGCGGCTACGAGCTCTCACCAGGCCGAGGACAAGGGCCGCCAATGCAAGAACTACCACCACTCCCAGGGAGGCTGCCACAGCCCCCACCAATAGCAGGTTGAGGTCAGGTGCCAGGCCCAGTGCAGTGTGGGTGATATCCACAGTCACAGGCACTGTGGCACTCCTTGAACCAGGTAGAGGCCCCCGTGCCACCACCTCCAGCCTCAGCTCCCGTGGTGCCTCTCGCCGGGTACGGCCCCCGCCCCCAGGGGGGCCTGTTCCACTGCCTGGTGCCCGGCTGTCCACCCTCAGATACAGGGCACCTGTAGTCTGGTTGATACCAAAGTAGGGAGAAGAGGTGGCAAGGGAATAGAGCACCAGGCCATCGGCACCTCCATCCTCGTCTGTGGCCTGCACATGACCCAGGCTGTGGCCACGCCGGGCACCTTCTGGCACTTGGAAGTGGAAAGCTGGAGCCAGGAATACTGGGTCATACTCATCCTCGCCAGTCACCAGCACTGACACAGTGACTGAGGCTGAGAGATTCCCAGCATCGGCAGCACCCACCAGTAGCTGGAAGCTTCCTGTGTGCTCATAGTCGAAGGCCACTCGGGCCCGCAGCTCCCCTGTAGAGCTGTTCAGTGCAAATGCCTCACGTCCCTCAGGCCCTGGCCCAGCCTCCAACAGGCTGTAGCGGAGCCTGCCAAAAGCCCCGGCATCCCCATCAATTGCATGCAGTGTGGTCACAAGAGTGCCTGGAGGCTGGTTCTCCGCCAGGCTGGTGCTGAGCAAGCTCAGTGGGAAGGCTGGGGCATGGTCATTCACATCCTGGACCTCAATGGTCACTGGTGCCAGAGCAAAGTGTGCCCCCACAGGGTCGGCAGCTTGCACTACAAGCTGATGTCGAGCCTGGGTCTCACAGTCCAAGGGGCGGGCCAGTCGCAAGGCACCTGAGTTCTCATCCAGCTCAAAGAGCCCTGAGGGGTCACCCGAGCTGAGGGTGAAACGTACAAGGCCATGAGGGCCTGGGTCAGCATCAGAGGCCTCCACATGCAGCAGCTCAGCTCCAACAGGCGTGTCTTCAGATACTGCCACGCGGTAGGCTGCTCGGGTGAAAACGGGTGGATTGTCATTGACGTCCAGCACGGTGACGGTTACTGGTACAGCTGAGCTGCGGGGTGGCTGTCCCCGGTCAGCTGCAGCCACAGTTAGATTGTACTGGGTTAAGCTTTCAAAATCTAGAGGCTCAAGTAACACCAGGCATCCCAGCGCCTGGGGGCCCAGTCCACCACTCTCCCCAGCTTCAGCAAGCCGGGGTTCCAGCTGGAAGACTCGGCCCCGGTTGCCACTGACGATGCTATAGTCCACGGTGGCATGGGAGCGGCTTCCGTCAGCATCTGTGGCCTCCAGCGTGAGCAGGGTGGAGCCAGGGGGCAGATCCTCAGTCACAGCCACACGATAGTGTGGCAATGTGAAGCTTGGCGTGTGGTCATTCTGATCCTGCAGCTGCACATGCACTGTGGCTCGGGCTGCTCGGCCTGGCATCCCCTGGTCTCGGGCTTCCAGCACCACATCCACCACTCCTAGCCCCTCATGGCCCAAGGCCACTGTTCCCACTGTCGTGAACAAGGTCCCTGAGAAGAGAAGGGAATGGATAGAAACATGCATTCAGCAGGGTCTATGGGTGAGCCGAGGAAGTGACCCTTCGGGACCCAGGAAATGGCCCTAGAAGTCAGACTCCAGGGAATAGCCTGTGTGCTGGGAGATTGTGGGATGGCCTCCAGGATTCAGGGAACAGCTTCTAGACATGCAAGGCTTAAAACAGAGACAAAGGAGGAAAAATGTCCTCCCTGGGTTAGAGATCCAGGAGTTAAGAGTTCGGGCAACAAATTGTAGGAATGAGGTCAGACTATGGCCCACAGTCAAAGATAAGGGGTCAGATCCCAGGAAGGACGCACCGTTATTGGGGTCAACACTGAAGCCTTCAGCAGGGGAAGCCAGGTGGTAGGAGATGTGACCATTGGCACCTGAGTCCCGATCAGTGGCAGAGACGGAAAGAATGGCACTGCCTGGGAGCGTGTGCTCAAGCAGCGTCACCTGGGGTATGAGCACAAATGTTTATGGCCATGCTGCCCTACCATTCATTCAGCCTGTGTTCTGGAGGTTTGGTCCCATGGGCCCTACTTGGCATCCATTCCAACTTGGAGCCCATATGTCTCAGTATTTGATTGCCCCCCCTTTCCCCTTTCTGGGGCATGGAACAAAAAACTTGGGTACAGTTCCCAGGAATGGCAAGGCTGGTATAAGATGGGACCTCCCACTCCCAGAGCTCCATCCTCAGGTCAGTTCTAAGGTCCAGCCTATCTCAGGCTCTTCTAACCTCCTCACTTCTCTCCAACACAAACAACCCTGGGTTCAGATGTGGGGACTTCTAGGTGCACTGGTACCTGGTAGAGGCTCTGTGAGAACACGGGTGCATTGTCATTGACGTCCTCCACAAACACCGTAAGGTTGGCAACGCCCTCATGAGGTCCATCACGTGCTAGCAGTTGCAAGTGGTAGCGGTCATGCTGCTCGAAGTCCAGGGGGCCTGTGAGGGAGACACGGCCTCCATAGCGGCCTACGCTGAAAGGATCCTGGGGTCCAGATGAGCTCAGCACATACCACAGCACTGGTCCAGAGTCCACGTCATTCCCTGTGACCTGTGCAATCTCTGAGCCCAATAGTGTATCTGTAATACACAGGACAAATGTGTTTGGCGAGGTCCCAGACACC